CAAGGGAAAAAAGAACATTCTAGCTCTCCTTGAAATTAAACGAGTAAATCAAGTGAGACAAAACTCACTTTTGAGTAATTAAAATAATTTTTTTCTATAAACCACTTGAAAAAAAATCCATAATTATGACTTATAAAATGTAGTAAATCCCATGGGTGTTTCCTCCACACGCAGACCTCTATAGAGTTTTCTCGTGTGGTGAGAGAAGAAAAGTCATCAGGGGTTAAGATGTGCAAAGTGTGCGAATAATTTGTGGCCTGTCGACTGACTAATCAGTTTTTTAGTGATCCATTACTCTGAATTATGTATGCTAAGTAGCCTGTTCAGGACCATTTATAATGAACATCTTTTAAAGGCATTCGAAAACACAAACACACACAACTTCAATAGATCACACACACACATAATTCCACTTTAATCCTGACATGCTTTCACAAACATGCACACATGTCAGCATTACTGAGGTTTTATGCGGTAAGACGGCATAAATCACTCAGTCCAAATGTGCACTAGCATCACAAATAACCATCAAAATGTGTCTCAGGTCAGTGGAGGGACACAACAACATGCTTCAACAGACTGCTAGCAGCCACGTAACGCCACAAACAAACAGTAAGGCTCATTTTCCCTTGCAGTGCCTCTTTTGATGAATCTGTGCTGCACAGTTGTTAAGCCCTATGAAATAAGCCCCAGAGCTGTGCCGTCCTCTTTAAAATGACCTTTCAGAATTTATCAAGCACGTTATGGAGGATATCCAGATGTTTCCACCACATGTTGAGCTGCTCGCAGACATGTCACAGAGGATGTAGCACACTTATCAGAGGCTACGGGTGAACGGTCCTACAAGTCACAAACACATCAGAGACCACATGAGCAACATATGCGCTCATACACTCATACACACTTCAGAGACCATGAGTGATGAACTGGACATCTCACATATACACACTTCACAGACCAAAGTGAAAAGTTCTCTCTCTCGCTCTCTCTCTCACACACACACATTCAAATACATAGCCTATACATCAGAGACCATGACTGGACATCTGCACATTCTCACGCACAGACTTACAGCCTACTCAAGAAAAGAGAAGTGAAGACTTAGTGAAAACTTAGATCCTGATACACCTGCTAAAACATATATCCTTTTTTAGATGCTTCATTAGAGCCTTCAACTTACAATATAGTTCAACAAAAGACATAGCAAATATTAAGAATTAAAAGAACAACAATAGTTAAAATGTAACATTTAACAATAACAAACACTGTAGCTCAAAACATCAGATTTGATAGTTAAACGTGTATGTGAATGAATTACAATAATTCGTAAATAGGGCACGTGTGCACGCTAGTTCACAATAAAAATAAGGGACGGTGCGTTCCTAAAGGGATATACCCCCCTCCGAATGGCACTTCGATACGAACATTTTCATGAATTCGAAAGTTTATGTCAGAACAGCTTTTCTGCTCGTGTTTCATGAATGACGCCCATATAGTGGCGGACTCGAACCCGGGTCGATCGCGTCAAAAAGTAAGTCTGTGAGTCTGATGCTGTACTGCCTACACCACTGAAGCCATTGAAGTCAATGCATCTTTTTTAATATTGAGTGGCAACCAGACATTGGTGGGCGGAGTTACTGTAAATAGCGTTTGCCAACAAGCGCGCTATTTGCACTTAATGTAAAGACACTCCGAATTTTTTTTCTTCCCCTCGCTTGGGCCCCAAGTGTGCACGGGCCCCTGGGCCTGTGCCCATAATGCCCATTGGATAATCCTGCACTGACTGTATGGCAACACTGTCCTAGGCATACTGTATGTGCACCATCTGATTTTTGTAACCGCGCTTACTTTGTACGCACAGGTTGGTCATGCACATCAGAATCAGAATCAGAATCAGAATGAGCTTTATGTGATGTTTTATTAACAAGTTTCGGGAGGAGCACGCGCAGATAATTAACACGGCCAGTTCATCATCAGTAATTAC